CCCTCATATAACAGTACCTCTCAATATTCGGTATTTTGACGATTTAGAATAATTTTTTTCTAAGAGAAATGTTTAAAAATCGGTATTTGGAGTTCATAATGGGTTCTACCTCATGTGGCAGAATATAGTCGGTACAGGTCCATGTTTTCTAAGACACACTTTCGAACGGATTAGTTTGAAAATCGATGTATAGAGTTTATAGTAGGTTCTACCCCCTATGAAGGAACATTGTCTATATAGGTCCACGTTTTCCTATAAACCCCATATAACTGTACCTACTAATATTCGAAATTTTTATTTGGAATTCATTATATTTTCTGTGATAGAAAATTTTCGAAATAGGTTCATAGGTTCTCAGTTTCTAACGTAATGGTATACAAGTCGCTAGTCACTGATCAATCATGTTTTCGTATTGCCACTGTTCATTCATGTTTTCCGATATTTCTTGTTATTCGATATTTTGGCGATTTTAGTCAGATTTTCTGACGAAATTATTTAGAACTCCTTATTTGGATTTCGTAAATGGTTATTTACTCTTGAAGAAACAATTTCTATGTAGGTCAACAATTTTTCATCACATCCTCCTGATTTTCGGTATTTTGATCATTTGAGGTAATTTGAATTTTAAATTGTGTGTGTTTTTACTGACTGAAGTGACGCATACCCCTCGAATACTGGAATGTCACATGAGTTAGTTTGGTGGAGAGCATTAAAAGTTCGGTCCTGCGAACTTAACTTTTTGTTTTCTCCATGCTGAGCGTCAGGAATATCAGGTGATGAATATAGCTAAACCCATAATCACCAAAGTGAGATGAATAAGATCGTATGAATAAGAAATTCCGATTTATCATTTGGGTGAGATTTTTTTCGTAAAAATGTTTCTATATTTCAGTATTTTAACTTTATGTGTAACTTATAACCTCCGGCAAAAAGGGTACCCCCAAAAGCTTATTCTTATTTCTAGTATATAAGTACAATGCTAGTTTTTTTATATCTGTATAAATTTACCTCAACGTCTCGTACTAGTAAAAAATTAATGAAATGTACAAAAATGATGTAAGATATTTCACATCACAAACTCCTACTCTTTCTCTCTATCAGAAACAAAACAATGCAGGCAACCCAAACCAACTTTATACAAAATTTGGCGATTGCGGCACAGTGTCAGGTCTTGTCGACCGTTGTAATGAAAAGTTGACCAATATTCCGGTGCTGAAACAAATTGATAACAAAAATCCAATCCAATCCAATCCGAGACCATCAACATTTCGTCATTACCATTGAAATTGCCATTGTGTCCGTTACTTGTCAATGGCATCTTTGAAATCCAAAAACACGCCACCATCAGCATTATCGTCCGTCAACCGCCAACGACAACATCATCGCTGTCATTATTGCTTCAAATGAATTCATTGTCGTTTGGCAGTCATCATTGGTTTCCAATTGAAAAATTCTGAAATTGCGTTGAACGTTTCTCTTTGATTTTTAATCTCCGTTGCGAACAGGGTCGTAGTCGTCGTCGTCTGAAACTCACAAGAAACTTTTCAAGGCCGTCACACATTTCAGCTGTCATCTCCTCGTGGCTGTTGGGGTGTGGCACCCCGAGGTGATTCCAAATACCAAGAAAACCCCGAACTACTATCTACGTCGCTGATACAGCCCATTTGCAATAAGCAGTTGACGTTAATTTGCTTTTATTTGTCATTGCAATTACAGTTACAACGAGAGTGACTCTTACAGTCACAGTCACCGCCACACACACACACACTCGCACACTCATAGCTCTTGCAGGAATCGTCAGTCGGTTGGTCGCTCCGTCTCCGTCTCCGGTATTATACAAAGCTTCCATTGTAATCGATTTCCATTGCCATCGCCAGGGTGGTTCAGCTTCTTCTGCTGTTGGCTTCTGTGCAAATATTTACATACATAAAACGGCAGTCAAGGGAAACATCTTCATGGCACGGAGCTGAATCCAACTGCTGCCTGCTGAAGGAAGAACAAAAAGGCTACGCTGGAATAATTGCAGACTTGAGAAAAGAAAACATTTCAATAAATTTTGTAAATACTTTTGAATTAAATCTGGAAAGTCTTCTTCGATACTTGCCCTCGCTCAGTTTGCTCAGCGAGCACAGCAAATACATAAACAATTACTTTTCATTTTCCATTCACTGCAGTACTGCTATCACAATTATTGTCTATCTCTCTGTCTGTCTGTCCGACTGTCTGTCGGGCTGTCTGGCTATATTGGCGTTGTTTACTCTTCAAAAAGATTATGGTTGCAGGGACGACAGCCAACATTGTCGCTGTCCTGGTTCGCTATCAAAGAGAAGGAGGACTACAGCCAAGGAGAAATTTCGAGGAGATCCCTTGAAGAAAATTTAATTATGGACAAACAGCAGCGAAGGAATCGAAGGAAACTTCGTAGGGAAATTTTGACACACACACACACACGGACAACGAGAAACTACTTAATACTGTGATGAAGAAAAACTTAAGAACTGAAGGTGGGGGCTGTGTAAAATCCATAAATTATTTGCATTGATTATTGACAGCAAACAAAAAAATTATTAAATAGTCTTTCAATTGTGACCCAGTGGGGAAAGGATCTAAAGAAAGGAAGGGCATAAACTAAAAGTGATGTACCAGAGCCTCATGCTCATTATTGAAATATCATTAATGCGAGTCAAGTAGGTTGCAAAACACTTAAAATCTAGGATTGCAGGATGAAATAACTATAGACGTTGTCACTATCTTTAAATATAGCATTTTATGCAGCCGCTGGGGAGTATCTGAGGAGGGATTTTTAGAGATTCGTACAAAAGATATTGAAAATACTAAAAACTGTGTTTTATGGGTTAAATTTTTATACCTTAAACCTTAGACTCTTTAACTTTCTATTGGTCTGAAAGATGAGATTAAATGTTGTTTTTGGGTATGCAAAATGTAATATATGATACCAAATTTGTTTTATACCAGTAGGAAACCCTTGAACTGATTGACTATAAGGACATAATTTACTTCAAAAATATCCCAAAAGGGATTTGACTAAAGACATGTTATTGCAGAAATAAACATTAAATGCTGCAAACAGATATATAGCGATATTTCATTATGCATCGTATCAATTAGGTAAGCATGGGCTAGAGTTTGACGATTTCTGCACTTTTTGAATTATCATCATTGATCTGTAACCGATATTTTCCAAAAACATACGATTGGATCGAAACCACGAAGTCATGCACATCTACGTAGCATTTGCCCTATACAGGGTGAGATGAAAAAACTGCATCCAACTTCAGACTGCTGTAATTTCTAAGCCACACGTCCGACAGCTATTAAAATTATTCCAGTGACAGCTCATTATATTGTTTACAAGCGTACAAAAGCATTTTGGTGAGAATTTTCCGGAAAAAGGTTATTCGTGATGGAATTCGAACGTGATAGTGTGATTTCTTTATATTTGGCTGAAAAACCTCGTACCATCGTTACCGTGATACTGGTAGTGTAGCCCGACATCAAGGAAGTAGACGGAAGAAAAGAAGCGACTTGATCGAAACCCGCGTCGTAGTGGCCGAAAATGGATCGTGAGCTGAATATATCGGAATATTGCTTTCCGCAAATATTGTAAAATAAGCTCGGGGTAAAGCCATTAAATTAAAAAAAAGTGCCGTAACATAAAGAAAATAGTCTTAAAAGAGTTAAAGTGTTGCTTCGCATGGCCGAATTTGGTTGTCTCCGATGAGAAAACACTCGTTTTCCAGCAGTTTGTAAACAAACAAAATGATCGGGTTTACTTGCCAAAGTGGTCGGCTGAAAATGTGCACCTTCGGTTGGCCACCAGAACTCAAGCGCCAGCCATTGTGATTTTGTGGGCCGCCATAACAGCCGATGGTCGCTCTCCGCTCGTATTAATCGACCGTGGCATCAGAATAAATGCCGAATATTTTCACGAAAATATTCTGGAAGGTGTATTAAAGCCTTGGGCACGCAAACATTTTGGCCGCAGACCTTGGACATTCCAACAGGACTCAGCACCACCGCCACCCAAGAATGGTTAGAAAATGAGGCTCCTCGCTTCATTTCCAGAGCACAATGGCCACCAAAATTTCCGGATACCAATCCGTTGAACTATTGTGTCTGGAGTCTTTTGGAAAGCAAGGTTAACACCAAAAAATACCAAAGTGTCGATCACTTCAAGCAAGCGCTTCGCCGGGAATGGGCCAAAATACCGCAGAGCAACATTCGATCAGCGTTTGACAGTTTCATTGGCCGATTGAAGGCCATAATTGGTGCCAAAGGTGACCAATTCGAACAAATCTAAACTTATTGTAAAATTTGATGCTATTTCCGAAAATTTTTGCTTTCATTCAATAAAATTTAAAAAAATGTAATTATTATGACGTTTGACTTTGTTGCAGTTTTTTATCCCACCCTGTATAGTTTTCTATGTTTTAGTTTAATATTTGGCATTATGTTGTTCGATATTTCTTGATTTAAATCTTTTTGGCCAAGAGGTCATTCTGAATTGGTAAGAATTATCAAAATCCGTCCAACCGTTCTTGAGTTATAAGAGGTCTAATTAACATCCCCTTCTTTGATATATGAGATTGTATATATTTTGCTATATATGCGTATATTTGTGATTCCGCAGAAATTTAAAATATTCGCGTATTTCTCACATAAAAGTTATGGTCACATAAAAGTTATGGTCACATAAAAGTTATGGAATTTTCTGACCAATATATACAATCAAGGATTTTCATCCCAAAAAAAAAAATGATTTTCCGTCCCCCAAATATTCGGCACTCCAAAAGCTCAGAATTAAAAGGTTTCAACAATTTCATCCTAGTTCCTAGTTATATCATCAGTAGTCAAAAAATAGTATTCTTTAATTATCAACATCTTCAGAAAACATCCCTAGTTTCAGATTAATTTAAGACCGTTAACATATAACATATGCAAATAGAAAAACACACCATAAAACACATAACCAAATGAAAACGCGCAACAGATTAGGCCAATTTGAACGTTCCAAAGTTAACGTCTTTGTTAGCATAATTCGCTTACGCATCCATTCGCTTTTGTATTTGTTATCCCTCACAGCGAGCAATGTCGTTTCACGTTTTCCTTTTTTTTTCGCTTCACTACATTTACATCACAGAACACGTCTGCATCAGGACTGCAACGTTTTCAAGGAGAAACAAAGAAAAGAAGAAAAAAACACAAAAATGCTTTGACATGCACAAATGACCATTGGATTATTCTGTTGCAAATCTAAATCCCCCAGCAACTTGAGGCAACATCTGAAACTATGTCGCTGGAATACAACAACAAAAAATTAGTCTAACGTGATGTTGTACAAAACGGAAGCCCGGCTTTCTCCTCCAACCTGCGTTGCCATTGTCAACCCTTCCGCTCGGAGCAAGTGTTTGTCTGCACTCGACGAAGTGTGATTGAAGCAATACAGCCATTCCGGCTATTGTGAACGTAAAATCTGGAAGTGATTGTTTCCCGGCAGGCAGCGTCGTGTGAAACAACAAATCTGTTGGGTAACCTCCAAATGTCACTAACACGGGAAAAAAGAAAGAAAGAGAGAAGGAGAGGGGGAGTGGGGCATGACAGCCATGGTTGCAGTTTGAATGCCACGGCCAAAGTGACAGGATATTTTGGGGTGGAGTGTTCAATGTGCTGGTTTGCTGCATGATTTGTTGTTTACGTGCTAAGGGAGGCTTTCTTCCCGACAGTCGTTAACTTAACGTTTTCAAAGCCGACATTGTAACGTTCAAAACAGAACAAAACAACATCGAGAATTAATGGGACTGTGAATGGGAAACGTTACAACTATCAGGTGAGCCATTCAGTCGATAGACGGACACACCGTTTTATCTGCAACAATTTCTATCACTTCAATTATAAATCTAAATAAAATCTAGGTATTAAACAAATCTATGGTGGTAATCCGGAGAGAACCCTCTTGGAATAAATTCTATCAATCATCTGCCCAGAATTTTTTAAAATGTTGTGATTTTTAAATGTAATCCTGTTATGGCCGACCAACTGTATAGAACTAAATGAATACTTTACTAACTTGAGTTATTTGTCACGCTTATAAATTCCAGATCTACACCTACAATCTATGTGTGTTTGTATATTCAAATACAAGGTTGTTTAGGCGAAATTCCCGTAGGCGATCAATAAAATCGAATAAAGAAAACTTTAAATTTATTACAAACTTTTTGGCAAAACACACACACACCACCGCCGCATCCCTGCACCAAACACAGGCTACACACAAAGACTTGCTACAAGTTGGCTACAACACACAACTGAGACCTAATTCATCCAACAAATGATTGAATGGAAATGCAGCCTTTACATTTGTTGAAATAAAATTTAAGGACATTGCCCAGAAGGCCAAACAAACCGGGATCGAAGTGACCTTTAGATGCCAGTCAATTGAATAGAATTCCGTAGGAATCGAGTGACCTTTTTGAAAAGTGAAACTTTTACTCTGCTACGACTAGCTCAGTCGAGGTTGGTTGACACCGCCACACAAATAAAATGCTCATTAAATGACAATGTAAGCCGCAGACAGTAAATACAACCACTTTTTGAGGATTCTGTTGAAAGTCCTTTTTTGTTTTATTTTCAGACTTCTACGAATGGAAAATATTTCATGGCTCGATTGTCATCGCTGTCTAAGAGGATATTTAACGAAACGAATGGAAAACCATTGATGTGTATCGGACAGTTCAAAATCGTCGTGTTAGAGAAATGCGTTTCTATTGAAAATCTCCATTTTCGCTGATATTAGTTGTTGTTCACAGAGTGATTCATAAAACAAATATGGTATTTGGAACTGTGATTGGGCAACAGATAAACATGCGTTATTATTGCTCATATGTTGGAAAGATATTCGTACCAAAAGGGTACCAAAAATAAGCAAAATGTATAAAAAATTGGACACTTTTTATTTGGAATCCTGAATTTTGAAAGAATTTTTTTTTTTTGGAATTCGAATTTAAAGGTTACCAAAAGTTCTAAAATGATACCATACAGGGTGAGATAAAAAAAACTGCAACAAAGTCAAACGCCATAATTTTTACATTTTTTTTAATTTTATTGAATAAAAAAATCTCGAAAATAGCATAATATTGTAGAATAAGTTTAGATTTCTTCGAATTGGTCACCTTTGGCACGAATTATGGCCTTCAAACGGCCAATGAAACCGTCACACGCTGCCCGAATGTTGCTCTGCGGTATTTTGGACCATTCCCGGTGATGCGCTTGCTTGAGGTGATCGACACTTTGGTATTTTTTAGTGCCAATCTTGCATTTCAAAATACTCCAGACACAATAGTCCAACGGATTGGTATTCAGAGATTTTGGTGGCCATTGTGCGCTGGAAATGAAGCGAGGAACCTCATTTTATAACCACTCTCGGGTGGCACGTGCTGAGTGCGATGTTACTGAGTCCTGTTGGAATGTCCAATATCTGCGGCCAAATTGTTTGCGTGCCCAAGGCTTTAATACACCCTCCAGAATATTTTCGCGATAATATTCGGCATTTATTCTGATTCCACGGTCGATTAATACGAGCGGAGAGCGGCTGTTATGGAGGCCAACACCATCACCATGGCCGGCGCTTAAGCTCTGGTGGCCAACCAAAGGTGAATATTTTCAGCTGACCTCTTTGGCTGCCGAATTGGGTTTTTCCGATCGGCTGTTCACCACCTTCGGCCAAGCAAAGTATATTTTCTATCTATTGCGGTGTAAACCTTACCCCGAGCTCATTTTTCAATATATGCCGAATAGAATATTGCGATATGTTCAGCTAACGAGCCACTTTTCGGCCACTGAGACGCAGGCTTCGATCAAGTCGCTTATTTACTTTTCGAACCATTTCTGCTGATGTTGCTGTTTTCTTCCGTCCACTTCCTTGACGTCGGGCTACGCTACCAATATCACGGTAACGAGCGAGGGTATGAGACAAAAAAGATTTATTCACATTTAAATGTTGGAGTGCTCTAACGATAGCCACTAAAATAAATTTAACAGCTGTCGGACGAGTTGGTTGAAGTTTTTTCATCTCACCCTGTAAAATAGTTTAGTTTTAAAGTATTATGTATTTTAAAGTATTAGTAAGATTTTTATCCCTCCACCATAGTATGGAGGGTATATTAAGTTTGTCATTTCGTTTGTAATATCTCGAATTATACATTTTAGACCCCACAAAGTCTATAAATTCTTAAACAGCCTTAAATTCTTTGGCTGTGGAAATCACTCTAGCTTCCGAACGAAATGAAGAAGGTTGATAAAATTTTACTAAAATGTATATTATGTCTGCAGGACTTTTGGAATTGAAAACGGGTCATATAGGTCCACATTTTGGTATAGCCCCCATAGAATGGTACCTCCCTATTTTCGGTATTTTTGTGATTTTAACGACATTATTCACCGACTTTTTTTCAAGTTTCGCATTTGAATATTGTAATGGCTTTTGACAAAAGTTGCCCATGCAGGTCCACGTTGTCGTATAACCCTAATGTAACGGCTACATTCGGTATTTTTGAGATATTATCAGAATTGTTAACGGATTTTATTTTTTGAAAATGCCACATTCGTTTCAAATGGTGGGGGGTAATTCAAAGCTCGGCCAGGCCGAACTTAAAGCTTTTTAACTTGTTTTTATAAATTTTCATCTACTATTTTCAGTGCACAACATTTTCAGCCACTAACTTTACAAAAAAATATTTATGTATCTCTTCAAATTGATGTCACTTTCAATAGATTTTGGTTGAAATTGATGTGTATGTATTTGCAAAAAGGACTCTATACATATATGTGCTTATTTAAGAAACATGTATATTTATGTCTCTCTTCGATGTAATTGTGCAATTAAATTTACCAAAGGCCAGAGTCCATTCACCGAATGAATGCATTGTTGTTTATTTTGTCAACATAATAAACGTCTAATTACTCAGTTCAAGAAATTAAATACAAACAATTTTGAAAGGATTTCAATGTTGACATACTAACAAGTGGCCGCAAGAATGCCGTCACCAAAAAGAAGCAATGTTGAAAATAGAAATAATTTTTATTTTGTTACAAAGTACCAAATGTCAGCAACAAATTTGAAGGCCATTGTCCCCCTGCTAAACATAACCACAACGGCTGCCTTGAGGTTTAAAAGTTTTCACGAAACATCCACAGGCAACAAATTTAATCTACAGCTGATAGACGCCAAGACTTCTTCGAAGTGTTTGCCAGTTTGATTTTGAGAGTGACACCAATGTAATACAAAGACGATTATTAATTTTCGCAGACAGCAAATAGAAATAGCTGTTTTCAGATTTCATTGACATTAATGGTTTTTGCATTCATGGTGATGGAGAGCGCCAAAGGTAACACAACTCCATCTAGTGTGTCAACTGCAAACTATGAGCGAATTTTATAGCATAAAAACACCCCCGTACTATAATGATAGTTTATAGCAGAGACACATTTCCACGTGGGGGGTTGAAATGCTGTCATAAAGTTCATTCAAGCTTCGACCAGACGTAGCGGTATTAATATTATTACAAATTTCTTCCAGTTTCATACTAAAAGCTTTACACACTAAAGCTTTTTTTAATATTATGTATTTGTCTGTGCTAACAGTAAAATTATTATGGTGAAAAAAGTAAAGCTTCTGAAAGAAAAAGTGTGTGTTTCCCAAGTAAAATAATTGTGAAAATTAAAGAAAATTGAAAAAGTTCTCATTTACGCAAAAAATCGGTTTTTAAGTTCGAAATATAGAATTATTCTGAGGGTTCATATTCTCTTGGCATTTGGTGGAGTTGTTTCAAAAACCTATGTTTGTGGTCTCGTTTAATAAAAGAGGTATATACGAGATATGAAGAACCTACGAGCAATATTGTATGAGTTATAGGTATGGTTACAGAGGGTATACAGTTAAAGTGAATACTCTCTCAGGCGGATAACTCCCTTTAATGGACAATTACCAACAAACGTAGCTTCATTGCAAGTAACTCCCCCACAAAGGGTCGAGATTTTGAATAATTTTAACTCTTATAAATTGTGAAAAAGAGTCCGGTTTGGCTTTAAATTTTACAAATACCAATATTTTAATCAACATAACATCCGGTATGAAGAATAGATAGAATCGACCACTCCTTCTGATAATAACTGGTAAAAATTGTTAATAAACGTAAAACTCATAAAACACGAAATGGACATACAATTCCTATCTTCCAACACAAGATCTGAGATGGAGATGGAATATATCGGATAACTGCTCATGGTGCCTTCTTCTGCTATCTCTCCCACAAAACTTCCCAATATTTCTACCAACACAAGAAGAACGGAACATTCCCTTCCCCACAAAAATTTTCCATAGTATGGCGGGTATATTAAGTATGTCATTCCGTTTGTAGCACCTCGAAATAGACCACACAAAGTATATGCATATTTTGATCAGCATAAAATTCTATGTCGATTTAGCGATGTCCGTCCGTCAGTGAAAATAACTCTAGTTTCTGAACGAAATTAAGAAGGTTGATAAAATTTTACTCAAATTTATATTATGTCTGCAGGACTTTTGGTATTAAAAATGGGACATGTAGGTCCACGTTTTGGTACATCTCCCATATAATGGTACCTCCCTTTTTCCGGTATTTTAGTGATTTAAGCGACATTATTCACCGGAAATATTTCAAAATTGGTATTTGAAGTTCGTATTGGATAGTACAGAATATGACAGAAAATTGTCTGTGCAGGTAAACGTCTTCCAAATCGTCGTATACATACGGCTACATTCTGTATTTTTAAGATTTTAACATAATTTTTAACGGATTTTACTTTTTTTGAAAATTGCCAAATTCGTTCCAAATGGTGGAGGGTATTCAAAGTTCAGATTCACAGCTTTTTTACTTGTTTTTTTATAAAGTAAAAATTCTCCCATCTCCTTTTTAAAAAGCAAACACAATCTATTATGATGTTTATTTGATGATTGATTATTGCTGTTATGTAGTGTATTATAAATTAAAAACATTTTGAAAGGAGACTCTCGCTTTAAGCTAAATCTTTGAATCTATGCACAGACGTAAGACAAATGTTTACTATGATTAGTAATCAAGAGGGCACATCTGTCCACGATCAGGCCTTGACCTTATATAATTTCACCAACTAACACTCGGTATTTCCACGTTTTTGCTACAATTTCCGACCGCTCAATTATTCATATTCACTTGACTGAAATCTTTTCCGGCAACAGTTGTATAATATTGGGTCCCTATTAAGCTAAGCCCCAATATAACCATGCCTGCAGATTCAAAGTATTTTGAATAATATGAATATTCAGCACTTCACTCTATCGTGTCGCAATTTCCGATCGAATTGGCTGCATTTCAGCATTTTGGATTTTGATAGGAAATTTGACATATGGAAATGAAGGTCCACGTATTGGCATAAGCTTCATACAACTGTGTTGGTTGATCTAGGATTGGAGTCACAATTACCAGCGCATTGTGCACTAATTTGATTATTTTCAATATTTCAATTGGCATTCAAAAAAAATTTACATACAATTCAAATTAGAAGACAAATTGAAAAAAATGATAAAAAATGGCAAAAATTAAAAAATATATGACAAAATGTAACAATATTATTCACATATTTTTCTGCATATTTTTATGCGATTTTTTCTGCCAGCAGCACTTTCCGAATTGGTGCGAATTGTCATAGACAGTATAGCCGTTCCTTAGTTATAAGTGTAGTAAATAAAGTGGTCGTGATAAATTGTTCTTTCCATAAAAGCATTAGTTGGGGAATGACGATCATTTGTGATAAAATATATAGATATGT